TTGGCTGATTAGCGTAAAAAAGATCAGAAATGTAGATAAAATAATTTTCTTAACAAAATCTCAAAGCTACGAAATATGTGAAACATGCTCCGTAGGCTTACTGTGCTTTTGCTTGGACATTTCTTTTCCATAAATACATATACAGCATATAATATGTGTGTAAGGCTTTCGCACTGGTTTTCGTGCTCTATGCGCATGTGGTCTATTGTTCGCCACAACTTTCGCTTTTTATAATCTTTCTCTCATAACTTTTTTTATTGTTATTATATTATATTATTTTCTTTTTTAATGAGTTGTCACATACTTTTTTTGTATGCTTTAGTATAAAAAATAAATAAAATTTTTAAACTAACTAATGTATAGTATAAACTTAATATGAGTTTTTATAAGAACAAAGATATAAAAAAATAGTTAAAAAAAAAAATTAAAAACAGGTAAAAATAAAAAAAAGTATAAAAAGAAATATAAAATAAAAAATAAAATTTAATAAAAATAAAAATTTATAAAAATAAAAATTTATAAAAATAAAAAAACAAATAATTATATGTCCGCTTATGTGTGTGGGTGTGGTTATACAAAAAAGATTTTTTTTTTTTAAATATTTGTTTTTATTAAACGCACCTTCCTCACGTGTATATAAATATACAAATGCATAGGTTTACATACAAATAAGTATATTCATGAATGAATTTTATATTCATTTCGGTTGAACATACATAAATAATGATCATAAAAATTGAACCATCACGGCAATATTTGAGACGCCCACACGTTGGCAGTGCAGAGAATGCGTAATCCCATACATACGTACATACATACGTATGTATGTATACAAATTTTCATGTTTCTTCTTTAATCATTATACACTTCAAAGCGCGTATCTTGCACACCAACACCAACAGTAGGTAAATTAATTAGTAAAAAATGCCAAAAAACGGAATTGAAAAATCGAAAGTGTCAAAGTGCGGACACGCTACTGACAGTTATGGCTCGTCGCTGCCTACTACTACTGACAGACAACAAAACGGAGATTACACCAAGAGACCTTAAATGATAAAAAGAAGAAGCTTATTTGATACAAATCTTCACATTGACCCAGAATCTTCTTTAACTACGTATTTTAGATTTTATTTGTATATAAATATATCAAAAAAAAAAAATTTTTTTCACATGAATTTCAGCTAAAAAAAAAAAAAATAAACAAATTTAATTTTTCTGTTAGTCTGTTTGTCGTATTTTCTTGTTTCTTCTCTTTTTTATTCGCAATTTATAGCATGTTATTTTAATTTTTATTAGCTTTACTATCTAAATTTAGTGTTCATAAATCACACAGTAGAGCTTATTTAAAAGTAGATAAATTAATTTTCGCACAAATGCCAAAAAAACATGAAATAAAATTTTTTTTTTAAAAATTCGCGCGCTTCTTGGCCATATGTGAAATCGTAAATTTTTGTGCTTAAATTTAATATATTTTTGGTTTTTATTATTTCATTTTTTTGTTTTCCTTTTTTTATTTTAATTTTTTTTTTTTTTTTTATTTTAATTTTTATTTTTTTTATTTATTCTTCATCTGTTTTGATTATTTGCCATAGTCAATCTTAATTTTAATTTAATACGCAATATATTTTTGGTTGGTTCATTATACTATACTACCCATATACAATATGTATGTATACTCGTATTTGCATATACGTATGTGTCTGGTTTGCTGTTGGTGCTAAGAGAAAGAACTTTTTTAATGTCTGAAAACGTGTTTTACACATATTTTTGGCAATGAAAGTGACCTACAAGTGCATAAATGTTATTCTTGTTTTATTGCTCATTAAATTAATGCGTTATGAGTCAATATTTGGCGATGTAACATAAAATAAAATATTTTTATGGTGAGCTTGAGCACCATACAGCTGTGTTGCAGAGAAGAAATTTAGGAAAAATAATTTTAAATTTTCAAAATTCATGGTTTTTAGAATTTTTTTTTAATTATTATTTTTTAATAATATATACATTTTTTAATTTAAGTTAATTTAATTACAGTTGCTGTAAACGTTTTTTAAGCTATGAGAGTTCATTCAATGGGAGTGTGTCAGTATGGAAGGTTAGTCGCCGAAACCGACTAATCGTTCGTTGCTGTATTCCGAATCGAAAAATGTAAATAAGGAAAGTAGGAAACCACGTGACTGCTACAACACCAGTAATATATGTATATATTGAAGCACCAATTATCCGGATAACGAGCATTGTGAAATGTGTAAAATGCTCAAATATGCTTGAGAAAGCTCGACCTCATCGAGCTCGTAGTGAAAAAAATTAACTATAATGTTGTTGATGTTGTTGTAGCCGCAAAAATATTTCCCAAAGTACTTTTTGAGGAATGTTGCGAGAGTGACAGTCCTTGGCCGCATAAAAATCCAGCTAGTTCCGCTATAAAGACCCGACTGCCCCCCCGCAGGGGGCTATAACTATAATTTTTGGATGTTGATTGTATCAGCATTTGAACCCTGGCCTTCTAAATGGCAGTATGCAATGCTAATCACCGGGCTACTGTGGCCCCTCTCGGCTACCTTTTATTATTAAGCAAACATTTCTGAAGAATTTTCGGCTCTTCTACAATCATTTTCTGCTCGCTGTAGAATTGAATTTAATTTCTTCGTAAATCAAATTTTGTGGCATTTTAAACTCACCGGTCTTCTGAATAACTATGCAGACAATTTTTTACCTATTTTCAGACTTTCTGTATCAATAAAGAAATTTTTTTTGGTATTCAGTATTCGAAACCAATGCTGCAGGTTAATTTGGACCGAGAATCAATTTATCTATGTTACTTGTATCAATTTTCGAACAAATTTTGAGTATTTTGGAAAATTTCTTCTTTCGTTTTTCCTAGTTTTTATTAAAACTCTCTTAAAATAGTAACGTGATTGATTTGCCTTTTCCCTGATGCTCAGTTTTCGGCTTCTCTTTCGGAGCCGGACGGTGCGGACAATAAATTTTAAGGTATTTTTGAGCTTCAGTACTCCAAAATTATTATTCTTTGCTAACTTAGATGCAGTTTGGATTAACTTTTGTTACCTGGTTCGATCTTCGAATAAGCTTTCGGTATTTGGCTAATATTTTTTAAGGATTCTTTCATCATATCAAACATGTCTCCCTTTTTCAGAATTTCTAAACATGTTTGCTTTTCCTCAGTAACTCCCTTTTTCTACAAAATTAGTGTTCGTTTAGATTATTTTTGAAGTCCATTCGAATCGCGTCCATCAACTGTTTTATACTTGAGCGATAATTTTAATAATAAATAAATAATAATTAAATCAAAATCTAATATAATTGTCCTCAGGGTAGAAGCAATCTTCAAGAGATTGAGTAAACTACAAAAGCAGCATTAAACAGAATAACAAGGACGTGACAATAATGATGATGAGAAAATCTAGTGAACTATTAATTATTTTATGAACCAATAAACTCATTGGACAATCAACTATTTAATTGTATTTCCATGTACCCATGACTCATAGTATTAAGATAAGAATAAGCGATTAACAAAACCTCTGAAATCAATTAACATAACTCGAGGCAAACAAACTGTAGACACTTAATTAAAGAAAAAGTCAACCAAAGTTGTCACAGATAATTTTTGAGAAAAAAAAATCGAATCAACACGTAAACTAGGTCATGTTTACAAATAAATAAAATGAAAAAATTAAATTAAAATAAAAGAGCAAGGTGCGGTGCTACGAGACAATTAAATTAATATTTAAACAAAAATTTAATAGCACTAAATCGGAAAAAAACTGGTCAGACATTGTCATAATTAACACTAAACAATCATTAAACAATTCATGCATATCGACGACTGCTTGGGAGACAAATTGGCTTAAGCAAATGCAAATAGAAGGTAAACCCATGAGAATGTACCAGTATATATGTATTTATGCATGTAAAATAATCTTAACCACAGGAAATTGAACTTGTTTCTTTGTAGTTGCCCCTTTACCGTCATAAAGTTTAATGACATTTTAGCTATTTCATTATTCTTGCTTATTGTTGCTACCTTTTACTGAGCCACCATGCCATGTATAAATAAAACAAAATGAAAGCAATTTCAATGGGTTTAGAAATAAATTAAAAAAGAAGAATGAATAATCATAATAAATATTAGAAATGATTCAACGCGAAATATAACAATTAACTTTTATTAGAAAAATAAATAAAAATGAATTGAAAAAATAAAATAAAAATTTAAATTAAATTAAATTAAATTATATGAATAAAATAAAAAAATAAACTACTAAAAAAATAGAGTATAATAATGTAAATAAAAAATACAAGATAAACTAAAATAAAATTCAAAAAGGTAATTAATAAACAAATAGAAAACCAAATTCAAATATATTAAAATAAAATGAATTATATTAAATTAAAATGAAAAATAAAATAAAATAAAATAAAATAAAATAAAATAAAATAAAAAAGAAATGAAATATAGTTAAATTATAGTAATGTTTTACAAATAAATGAGATCAATTTAGAATAATTTTCAAAACTGTATATATTAAATATAATTAATTTCAAATTAAACACATTTAATGGAATTGGAATATATGGACACAAAATATTAATAAAGAATAAAGAAATCAATAAATGAGTTGCTATCGCCACACGTTTGCTGTCATGAACACGTGTACACATTAGTAAAGAACATATCGTTTTCAGCAAGATTGCCTTTTGCGCTTATTGCTACTTTTATATTTTTTACTGCAATATTTATAAATGAGAATCATTTTCCTACCATTCACGTACACAATATTTCATCTTTTTACTCATTAATGAATTCCGTTTTTTTATTTTTTCATTTTTCAGCGTTACAAACATGTCTCTGAAACGCTACTTTACCACCTTATATGTACATATAATATAAACGAATGTGAAAAATAAGAAGCGATAAACAACAAAAAGGGGCGAAATATGTTTTTATTATTTTAATTTTCAAAAACGCCACTCACCTTGTTCGCAAATTTCCGTTGCGTGTGCTGTTTAACGTTTTTGCGGCCAACTTGAAGCTGTTGCTGCCGCCACTGCCGACAATATTGCCATTGCTGCCAACACCACCACTACCGCCGGCTCCGCCGCCATTACTACCGCTATTCAGCTGACTTGCACTTGTGCGAGGCAAACGCGGATTACCGACGCCGGTACGCACTGATGTGCCACCAGCACCGCCACCATTGCCATTACTGCCGGCTGCCGCGACAAGACAGCTATCGTTACTTAGCACGGCGATTGCGCAGATGAGCAACAGTAGTGCCATTGTGAGTGATGAGCCTCTGCTGCTGCTGCTGCTGCTGTTGCTGCTGGTGCTGGTGCGACAACAAACGACAAGCCCACCGACACTGTTGAGCACTTTGTTGTTATTGTTGTTGCTGTTATTGTTTTTGTTGTCTTTAATGCTCATCACTGTAATAATTGTAGTTTTCGCTTTTGCTTGTAAGAACCAGTTCTTAGTTAGTTGTAGTCTGTTTGTTTTATGCTGCTGATTTTCTAGCTGCCGCTGTTGTTGTTTGCGCTGCGTATTGAGTATTGATGCATGCTGATTTTTATCCACTTGCTGTTGTTGTGGATGTTGTTGTTTGGCCTTTAAGGCCGGCATATTGCTGTGTAATTTGTTTGTTCGAACGCTGCGAGCGCAGTTATTGCTGCTCTTCAATATTCGTATATATAAATATATATATGTATGTATATGTGTATTTTTTTTTGCTTTACACGCACACTTTTCGATATTTTTCGCTTCTTTGTGGTATTTTCACGTTTTCCTTTTGCTTTTATTCGATATTTGTATTTCTTTTAATTTTTTGTGCTTCTTTTGCCACTTTTCATAAACACGTTTTATTTTCACAACAATTCACAATTTATTTCTGTATACTGTTATTTATTGCTGATTTTTATTTTTTTGCTAAAATTTACTGTAAACAAAAAATGGACTTATGAAACGTTGATATTTTCAAAAATATGAATCGCATTAATATCTGTTTTTTATTCAATATTAATTATTTTATTATTTAGTTAGTTAGTAATAAAAAAATATTTAAAAATTACAAAAAAAAATTTAAAAATTGTTATTGAAAAATTAAAAAGAATTAAAAAATTTAAATAAAAAATTATTCAAATGTTTGTGTAGCGTACGAAATTCGGTCTCCTATAGAACACGAAAAAAGCTTTTTCACCAATTTTTTTGAAAGGGTAGAAAACTATTTTCAAGCAAGTTGCAAAAACAATTTTTACCATCAAAAAATTGTGGAATATTCCAATTTGGTCATGAGTTTTCTGAAGCGGCTGCTGTCTGAACTCGTGAACGGGTGCGGATAATAGAGGAGGCGCGATGCATCTGAAACAGTTGATCCTAATTTCTTTTCAATTTTTATGAGTGTCTCTGCTATGTGAACTAAACAAAATACCGAGTTGTAAAACACATAATTTTTTCGAAGTTTGCAAAAAAAAATATCTTCAATTTGCCAAAAAAAAAACATGGTTTTAATAATACTTTTGTCCCACTTTTTTAGTTCAAATAGAAGACAATTTAATACTGAAGCTACAAATCACTTTGATTTCTTTTTGATTAGACAAAGATTCTTTCTGCCATCACCGGCAACATTTTCTAATAATTTTTTAAAATGAAAATCTTGAGAAAACGCGCTTCAAAGCTCAGCCCGAGCATTCAAACCTGCTCGACGCTCGGGCCCTCAAGCTCTAGCTTCAAAAAATATGTCGAATCGGCTGAAATTTTGAAAAGGTGAAGACAGTGATGTGGAAAGTTCGAGACTACAAGTAATGCGCTTGAGCCGAGTATGACGTAAAAACGCAGAGAAATTACCGAAAGGCATGACAAAATGGTTTTATAACATAACAATTCTCGGCCTCACGTGACTGTAACAGTGAAAAGCTATCCGGCAGCGCTGAAATGGCAGGTCTTATTCCAACTGCTGTATTGTACAGCTCTGTTTACGTCTGACCACTGGTTTTTTTGAAGTATGAAAATCGAATTGGTGGCAATGAACTCGTCTCTTTTGTCTTTTGAAGGAGTCGAAGAATGGCTCAATGATTTAATAATAAGAAAAGTATATGCTCTTAATGGGCAGTGCTTTGAATGGTGTATTTTTATTTGTTATTTTTTTTTTATTTTAAAACACTTTTGGGCACAAAAAACAGACCGATTTAATTTGTGCATTAGTTAATTTGTAAACATTTTAAAAATAATTTTATATAGAATTAGAAAATTAAGGCTAAGAAACAGTTAATAAAAATTTTGTGTATAACGTTTTGCAATGGAAAGAGATAGTAAAAAAATTAAATTTGATGAAGAACCAAATTAAAATAAAGAAAATAAAAAAATTAAAAATTGAAAATTTAAAAATTTATGATTTATTTAATCGTTTTTCTTATTGTTTTTCTGATACTTATATTTTTGAATTTACAAATATAATTTATACACAATATTTTGTGTTTAATTATTTAATTATAAATGGCTACATTTGTATATATTTATAAACTTTTGTTTTTGAATTTTTCTTATTTTATTCACTTTTTTTTTTGTTTATTTCTGACTTATTACATAATCAAGTAATACTTTGGTCAAACAAGTTGTCAACACCTCCATATATGTTGCTTGCCGACAACCAGATAAAGTGGCCGCAGAGTAAACTTAGCACAAGCCCGATATGAATACACACATACAGTTTTAGTTATTACCGATAACGGTGCGGGAAGGTGTTGCCAATAATTCGCGAGCAAGCAAGAAAGAAAACAATAAAACACACTCACGCACCGTAATTAAATAAATTAATAAATAAATTTAAATTAGCATCAAGTTTGATAATATCGAACATGCAATTATACACAAACACATACATGCATATGCGTGTATGGCTGTATATGTGCGTATGAGTGTGTGCCCATCGAAGCACGCGCCGCATAATTAAATGCACTTTTGATGTCATGAAAATTTTGAAATTTTTCAGCTAACCAACACCACCAGCTAACTAACAAGCCGACTAAGTAAGTACTGGGCCAAGTGATTTTCTAAGCATTTTTTATGCATTTAAATATGTTTATTCATATGCATTTTAGCATGCTGAATTTGTATATATTAGCTGATTGCTTTTAAGCCATTTCTGTGTGTCTATTTATACGTTTGTAATGTGTTTTTTGCTTCTTTTGTGCGCTAACGCCGCCACCGCCGCCGCCGCCGCCGCTGCTCATTGAAATATTTCGGTAATAACTTAAAAGGCTGTCGTACAAATCTCTTTTTGAGAAGTTGTTCAGCTGGAAATTGTGGTTTTTATGCGGCGCGTCGCTGCTGTCACTTCAATAGTACTGCTGCAGCGTGCTGGCGTTAGTTTTTTGTTTCTTTTTTTATTTCATATTTATTTTATTGATTTTTGTTTTTCGTTCTGCTTACTATTTTGCGCTCTCTGGATTTGAATATTTCTAAATACATTTTTTTTAATATTTAAATTCATTGCTATTTAATTATTGCTTTTTCTTATTTTCATTTTTTGTTTTTAGCTTTTCATTTGATTGAAAAACTTTTAGTGCTTCTTCTCATATTTTAATTATTTCTTTTACTACAATTTGCATTTATAATTATGTAAATTAATTTGCAAAGATTTAATGGAGTTCAAAACTGCTTGCGATAATAGTTGAAAGAGCTGAATATCGGCGGAATGCCATTAAAATGTAGTAAATGTTAAAATATGATTGCTTTATTGCGTAAATTGTACAAACAAAAATTTATTAATGCTAGTATGGCTGTCGTTATTGGGAATAAAGAGTAGTATTGAAAAAACTAGCAAATTGCTTTTGCATTAATGTTTAAACTGCTGTTCACACAGACTCTCAATTAACTAATTTATTTTATCTGAATTTTTTCATTACATTTTAATTTGTTTTCTTTCATTTTATTTCAGTTTTTCATTTCATTTATTTATTTTGCCAATTTATTTTATTTCATAAATAAGTTAAATCTACCTTTTACATATATGTTTATGTCATACATTTTATTCTATTTTAGCGCATTATAATATAATTAATGCTGTTCACACAGTCACACAGTTAACTAATTGTGAGTAGATAAGAAGGCAATTTCATTTGATTTTATTTAATTTTATTTTACTTTGTTTTTTAGTTATTTTTATTTTATATAACTTAATTTTTTAATTAACTTTATATTTTTCTTTTTGATTTAATTCTGAGATTTAATTTTGTTCTTATTTAATTTAACGTTAATTTCTTCGAATTATCGAATTTTCCTTAATTTATTTTTAATTGATTAAATTTCGTTTTTTTACAGCGGCCGGTGCCACCGACATCCAAAAGTTATGGAAAATAAATTTCAATAAAATATGAAGTTAATTTTTCTAATTGCAGTCGATCCTCGACAAGAAATGTTTACCCCTCCGAGTGTATTTCTGACATGAAATAAAAGGCTCCTCATAAAAAACCATCAGCCGTTCGAAGGCGGCTTAGTATAAACTGTAGGTCCCTCCATTTAGTTGCAAAAACATCAATTAATTAATTTTATTTTTTAATTTGAATTTATTGTATTTCTTCTTATTTTTTAAAATTCCTCAGATGTAAGTCAATTTCATTATATTTTATTTTGTTTTGTGTATTATTTATTTTAGGTAACTTTATTTTTCTTATTTTCTTGCTTTATTTATTTTTCCTTATTTTATTTTATATAATATTGTAATTTTATTTAATTTAATTAATTTTATTGTATTTGTTTTATTTTTATTTTAATTATTAAATTTAATTTAGTTTTATTTTATTTTATTTTATGTTATTTTATTTTATTTAAGTAATTTAATTTATTTAATTAATTTTATTTTATTTTATTTTAACATATTCTATTCTGATTTATTTATTTTTTTTTTATTTTTTATTTATATATTATTTTATTTTATTTTGTTTTATTTTATTTTATTTAAATTTTTTTTATTTTTTATTTATATATTATTTTATTTTATTTTATTTTATTTTATTTTATTTTATTTTATTTTATTTTATTTTATTTTATTTTATTTTATTTTATTTTATTTTCATTTATTTTCATTTATTTTTATTAATTCTTTATTGTTTTGTTTTTACTTAGTAATATGAATATTTTTTTAGTTTACTTTATTTTATTTTATTTTAATTTAAAATCTGATTTTATTTTAGCAATCAACAATTCATAAAGCTTTCATTTCGTTAGCTTATCGTATAGGAATATGGATCTCTCTTTCATTAAGTTTTAAATCCACTTCTTTTTTCATTTATTCCTTTCATCTTCATTGCCTTCCTTTCCTAGAATTCCATCTACATTGCATTTATAAATTAGCTGTATTTATTATTTAAAAAAATATGTGTAACTTTTATCTTCGACTTTGACAAATCGTTCACATTTTTGACACTACATAAACAGTAACAGTTGGCGGGCGAAATATGTATCAATGTAGATTTTTGATTAATATTCGAACATTAACCACCAACTGTGCCATGAGTGCTGACCATACGTACACACACATATCCAGTGGTAACAACAAGTGAGTGGAAGTACAAAAGCATTCAAATGTCTATAAATATGAACTCATTTAGCAAGATCATGTGTAATAAATTAATTAAATTTTTCATGTGAAAGCTTTATTCTTTTCCTGAATTGGGTTTTCATGTATTTGAAATGCTGTATTTTTTT